GTACCCCCCCCCCCCCCCGGGACTTGGAATTAGCAAAAGCTAGTAGCGATAAGTGGCTGAATAAGACATCTTATTTGCAAGAATTTTCGCTGAACTAAATTCTCGCGATTTTAGCGATTTAAAAACAACATGCGAAGTTTATTTCCCCGACTGAAAGAAAATGTAAAAATTAGCTACGTTAAATTTAAGAAAGGATTAATAGAAAAGTTTAAATGCGACAAAGACTGGAGTTAATAAGTTTTTTTTTTTTTTTGTCGCGAAAAGAAAATTGGTTCTGTTTATAAACATGACTTTTACTAAGCCATTTTCGTGGGGCAGAGGATATTTTTTTAAGGGGCAAAATTTTTGAAGATCCTCCTCCCACACCACCAATCTTGACTAGGAAAGTAAAATATAGGCAATATGATGAAATGGTGGAGAGACGATTTCCGCCGCTCCGAGAAGAGACTGTTTGAGGGAGGAGCGTGGTCTCATTTCCCGAACAAGCACACTACTTTTTGAGGCCCAAATTCCATCTCAAAGAACTTAAAAGAACCGAGGGAACTAAATACCTTTAGCGGGGATGCTCTTGAACATGTAGATTGTGCTATTTATAATTTACAGAAGCAAAGTGTTGATAATGTTGTTTATGTTGTTGTTGTTGATGATGATGATCAAGGGAACGATGATGTTGTTAATGCTGCCTATGATGATGATGATGATGACGGTGATGAAGGTGGAAATGAAGAGGGTACTAAGAGATTTGGTGACAATGATGAAGTTTAGAACATTCTTTCACAAAGAAAGTTGCAATGTGTTTTCAAGCATTAAATTTGTAGAGTTTAATAACATTCGTCAGCAAATTTTAAACGGGTGACACTTTCTAAGTTGTGTATGCTATTTGATCATCAAGCACTTTACGACATTCCAATGATGAAAGTCCCGTAAAGACTGTATTTATAATGCAAATAAGCTAGGATGGTCAAGGATGATCTTTTTTTTTTTTAATAATCCACAAAAATAATGCTTCCTTTTTTAATAAGTGGAGAAAACAATTAACAACCCCCACTTCGTGTGTCAAAAATTTTGGTAAAGCTCCTTGTCCCTTTTCAAAACGTTTGAGATCCCCCGAATAATATAATTAGCGATCGACATGCATATACAGTTCTTCCTTTTTAAGTAGCTTTCATTCATTAAGAAACGTTCAGGTTAGGTTATTGTTGAACACTTGTAATTTAACTTACTTCTACTCATGATCATCAGTGTAAAAATGAGTTTAAAGGGACGGCGTATAATATGTTCCCGCTACTCCCTCAAAAATATGCAAAAGCGAATCAAACATATTTTATGAAAGTGGAATGATCCTCACAGTTGAATAAACAACCTAAGCGGTTGAAAAAGAACCTGAACAAATTCAGGTTTGACCGGGAATCGAACCGGCCTGGGGCCCGTTTCTCGAAAGTCCCGATAATTAACGGGCCCGGTAAGCTGTCTCCGTTTACATTAAAGATTGAGGTTTCAATAGTTTTGCATCTAAAGTGATAAAACTATCAGTTAATGAAACAAAATGGAGTAGTTTGCTCGCTAGGACCCGCGTTCTTATTCTTTATATTTCGATTTGAATATTTGATTTCGGGCCCGAAAAGTTACCGGGACTTTCGAGAAACGGGCCCCAGGCCTTTTCAATGATCGGACGCAACGCTCTATCCATTATGCTAATCAAGGCAATCTGTAGAGCAGGTGATTGTGAAACCTTAGTTGAATACGAAACAGTCTTACCGGTTGTTCATTGAACTGCGATTATCATTTTCACTTTTATATCCTTATCCGTAGTTCAAAATATGAGTCATTTCCATTCATAAAACATCTTGTTTCGCTGTAGCATTGTTCTCACTGCACCAGGATATANGGGCCCGGTAAGCTGTCTCCGTTTACATTAAAGATTGAGGTTTCAATAGTTTTGCATCTAAAGTGATAAAACTATCAGTTAATGAAACAAAATGGAGTAGTTTGCTCGCTAGGACCCGCGTTCTTATTCTTTATATTTCGATTTGAATATTTGATTTCGGGCCCGAAAAGTTACCGGGACTTTCGAGAAACGGGTCCCAGGCCTTTTCAATGATCGGACGCAACGCTCTATCCATTATGCTAATCAAGGCAATCTGTAGAGCAGGTGATTGTAAAACCTTAGTTGAATACGAAACAGTCTTACCGGTTGTTCATTGAACTGCGATTATCATTTTCACTTTTATATCCTTATCCGTAGTTCAAAATATGAGTCATTTCCATTCATAAAACATCTTGTTTCGCTGTAGCATTGTTCTCACTGCACCAGGATATACCCCATTGTCTTGATGGTCAGTCTTTTTTCTAGGTCGAAATTTCCACATGTAGTCGTCCGCCTTTCATAGATGTTCCTTCCGCTCCCAAACCCCAATCTGGAATTACATGTATGGCAATCCGTTTGATCGTTGCCGAGAATACCGATTCTTGCTTTGGAAAAGCCACTATATGTACACTTTGCGTTGAAACCTTCCTTTTTACAGTTCGGCTGCAATGAGGCATCTGAACCAATCAGCGACAACCACTTGTCACGACCCAGTGAGGTGTTGCGGTATTTCCCATCAGCGATCAGAGAGTACAAGGAACTGGCGGTCATGTTGATGACAATAAACTCGATCTGCTGGCCTATCTTCATACCAAGGCAGATCTTGGTGAAGGATGTGTTCCAGTAGGAGGGTAGTTTGGTCTCCTGTGAGTCAAACCCAGTCTTCCCTCCGTCAAGTTTAAAGGCATTTTTGTTTCTCCAGAGACTGGAGTCGTAGTGAAAAGTTTGCTGTTAGAGAACAATGACGAGACAATAGTATAGGAATGAAAGTTGAGAAGAAAGTTTCTCTGTTGCTTTTAAGAACGGGTTCTTGATGTCCGGTTTAAATACTACTTATTAACCAAGAGTGAGGTCTTTAAGTTATTTATTATATGGCCTTTTCATTATAGACCTGAGCCTGCAATCAATTAAAACCAACATCTGATCAGCGGACAACTTTAAAAAAGTCACCTCAATGAGTTGTACCCTTGAGCCCGCGATACAGTCAGGTCACACTAATCAAAGTGCGACAGCTTTTTTATTGCGAAGTGCGACAAGTGTTATTACAAAGTGCAACAGGTATTACAAAGTGCGACGATGATCACAAAGTACGACAGAACACGATATGCGAAAGTAATGAGGGTCTCAGTGGGGTTTACTGATGGGTGTAAAACGGTTAAAAATTTAGTCGATAGCCGTAAAAATTGAAAAAATAAACAGCTGTAAATAGGGTAAGAAGAGTTAACCGTAAAAGAATATTTGTTCCCTAGATTTGTTAATTTTTAAAAAGGAACGTGCAAAAATAACTCACTTATGACCGGTTGCTACTTTGACTCCGTACGTTCATGTGTCTGCGTTTGGTATTTCGCGAAGATTCTTGCAATAGCATGTTTTAAAGAAAGAGTGCTTGTCATTTTAAGTGAATGAGAAAACTCTCATAATCAAAACATCCGCAAAGCCGTACTTCTCAGCCTGTCTCCGACACTTGTAAATGTGCGAGTCACAGAAATGTTCGAGTTCTCAATCTATTTGCTCGTCTAGCTTTTTCAGTTCATGTTGTACAATCTGTTCTTCAGTGGGGTAAATACCTTAACGTGTGAGTGAAAAAATGAGAGAGAGAAGATGGTAGCAAAAAAGGCAACGCGAAGAACGAAATAGTAACACAGATTGTCAAGAAAATGTCGGAAATCACGCCAAAATACAAAAGGAGACAAACAGCTTGATCTTCTTTTTCGTAGTTAGCATTTCTATGTGTAAAATAATATTAAAAGTGGAATACTTTAAAAGTATGATCTATCAAATATTAAAATTTTTCAAAAGAATGGGTTATTTCATCCCGAGATGATCCTATAAGACCTTCATTTTGGGGGGCTCTAAAGATGCAACTGAATATACAGGTTTATTAATATTTAATTGCATGTTTAAAAAAATTAAAATTAATTAATTTTAACTTTTAAGTTAGCCGTAACCGAAAAAAAAACCTTACCCCGTAAAAGAGCCAAAACTTTAGCCGATAACCGTGAAAGCCACCACCCCATTGCCATTGACACCCTCAATTATAAATAAGCATAACACAAAGCCTCTCGTTTGGTGCGGTTCCGTGTGGCTCATGAAGCACCTGGCAAGTCTGTGCATCACGGGGGCCATTGTCGTGTTTTTACTTCGACAGACTTCTTGAAATTCTTAAGCCGCACTCTTACTAGTCTAGAGAGCATTAGTTGCGGAAATTATAGTATTCAGTAAGTAATGTTCCACCTCTTTGCCGTCCATGTTTATGACCGGAGTCCATCCCCCATTTCCACAGCGAGAATTTCCAAAGTGACAAAACACGGCAGTTGGTTTAGAGTCAAGCAAGACCGTAACCTCCTTACTAACTTTGAACCTGCACGAAAGAAGTAGATTTTAGTTAAGTTGTATGCCTGAGAAAGCCACTGAATCACCCATATGCACTAAAGGGTAGCCGGATAATTAGAAATTATCAGATGGGGCTGAATATGATATGAAGAATTAAAATACGCAGATCGAGGAGCAGTGGCGGATCTAGGGGAGGGGCCCGTGGGGCCCGGCCTCCCCCTTATTGTTAGACCCCCCCCCCCCTTCCCTTATCTGAAGGTCTCCATCCGCCGCTGAGGAGGGTGTTATCATATAAAAATCAGCCGATTAAAAACCCTCCACTGAAGATCTGCATGATTAATTCTTCAGATCAGAAGAAAGCTACAGTGGCAGATCCAGACCTTCAAAAATCTAGCTATCCAGGCACAACTTAAACGGAAAAATTTTGAGGATGTGACTTACTTCTCAGGGTCAAAAGCGTACAGCTCCTGGCAAGACTTTACAGCTAAAAAAAAAGGAAACATCTATTACACATTAAAAGAAACCATTCATTGAAAGAAATACGTCGCTTTTTTAATCATGGCTTAAGACCAGTACTAACAATAATGCTGATGATGATAACGATAATGATAACAATAACATTGACAAAAAATCTCAGGTCATACGTTTACAGGGCTCCGTACGTACTGGAGTTGAAGCCAAATCCGGCTCTTGTCGCCCTACAAATCGCGCGATAAAATCGACCACTCCTATATTAACAGTAACGGTCCATAAACACAGAATGTGTTAGTTCTTTTTTAAAGAAAAATCAAATGAGCTGCAATCAAATCTAAATTTGTATACAGCTGCAGTTGCCGGAAGGAACCAGCAGTGTTTTTACAGTTTGCGTTCTTATCAAAATTATGGCTGCCATCTTGACATTCATCGATGTCTAAACACCAAACAACAATTCCGTAATAAACATAAACTAACAATCGTACTAAATTATACGTCGATCTACTAACAACGAAACTGAGTGCAAAATCAATCAGTAAAAAAACATGGTTTTCCTGTACAAAGGGAGCAGAGGAATTTGACAGATAAATTTAATATTTAGAAGAGTTAAGCGTTCATAAAAAGGACTAAGAAAAGCAAAACAAAATAAAATAAATAGTGTTGACAGTGCACTTTATAAACAAAAAATAGTTACTACATATTTTGGTGAGGGACTGTTATTCAAAATATCGGTTTTTAACCCTCGGACGTACAAGCAAAGTCATACCCTCACCGTGGATGATGTTGGACCCCCCCCCCCCCTTGAGTTTTTGATGTGTTGCAGTATTTCGAAACGATTTTGCCTGCAGTGGAAAGCCTTTAATCTTCTCTACAAGATAATAATAATCAATCATTATTCAGGAAGCCTACTCCACTTACGTGTTTTACAAAAGGTTCTTGATGAAACGAAATAAATGAATGAATATGCATGTAAACAAAAACAAACAAACAAACAAAAACTAGTTAAACAAAGAAAAAAATTACTTCTGAAAACTAAACATCCTCCCTCAATCCAACAATACCTAAACATACAGTTTGGGATTATTAACAGGTGAGAGTGATGCTAAAACTATTAAATATAAATAAGCTAGCCATCTTGGATTTTATCAAGAATTAGAAATCAGATAAAAACATTGAGAATTAATAATTTTTTGCGCTTAACTTGTAAAATAACACATGAATAATTGCTTTGCATCATTTTATCCACAAGTTTTACTTTTATCGTTGAAAAAAGTTGCATTTTCAGTCAAAAATGACTTGACCACCTGCTACTTATGACGTCATATCTCGTAACCATAGTAACTGTCCGTCGCTTAACTTGTCCCAAATGCGCGCGAGGGATAAACGAAACTTCAGGTGCTGATGTTTTATCTTCTACGAAAAGAAGCAGAAAAACCGAAAGGGGTGTGTCAAACACCCCCCCCTCCCCGCTCCCCATTGTACGTCCGAAGGTTAACATATATGTTAGTGGCTGATTGACAAGTCAACAGTTCCAAACTGTGTTTAATCTTACATTCTGTTTCATGTAAAATTTCTTTTGAATTACTTACCTGTGCATGACTGTCCATTTCCAAGAAATCCAGGATTACAGCTACAATTAAAGGAGCCATTAGTGTTTGTACAGTTTGCATTTTCATCGCAGTTATGGCTTTTGTCTTTACATTCATCGATATCTTCAACAAAACATTAGCATGAAAGAATCCATAAAAAAAAATTGCATTGGATGGCTAAATTAAAATTATTGCAGCAGACTGAATCGGTTAAAAACGTAAAAAGCAAACAAAAAAAAACAAGAAACAAGAACAAGACCAAATTAATACAACAAATAGTGTTGATTAGTTTGGAGAAAAAATAGTAACTAATTTTGGTGGCTAATCAGTCAAAAAAATCCAGCAACTGAAGGAACCAGCAGTGTTTGAACATGTTGCGTTCACGTCACAATTATGGCCGCTGTCGTCCTCACATTTATCGATGTCTAAACACGAGACAACATCAAGTCGATGAGCACTATATTAACAGACCTTTACAGATAACATCAGTTCCAAACCCACATTTCATCGTACACCTTTTTTATTTTTAGGTACCTGTGCATGAACTTCCATTCCAAAAAATCCAGGATTACAGCTGCAAGTGAAGGAGCCAACCGTGTTTGTACAGTTTGCATTCTTATCACAGTCGTGGCTGTCGTCTTGGCATTCATTTATGTCTAAAAAAGACAAAAACCAGTATTGAATTATCGTGAGCAAAGATCGCAGGGCTTTATTATTCATAAGAAGAGAAAGCTTTAAAAGCACATACAATGCCAATCCTTATTTAGGCTTTCACTCAAATATATTAAATTAAAACAGGAACTGCCATTGATTGATTCTTGGTCACGTGGCTTCGACTAAATTCAAATGTATGCAGGAACAGATGAAGGAGCCAACAGTGTTCGTAAAGCTCGCCGCTTACCAGAGTTGGTCTCACATGCGGCCACAAGAGGTGTAAGGGCAGGTCAGTTGTCCGCTTACGACAGCTTGTCCACTTCCAAATAAATACCGGGAATTGCAAAAAACTATTTGTTTGCGTTTGGCTATATACTAGGGAGCTTAAGCAACGACGACGGCGACGTCAAAGAGAACGGCAATAACGCAATAGGTTTAGTTTGGCAAAACAACAACTCTGCACGTGCATCACGCTTTTTTGTACATTTCTTTGCCGTCGTAGCACGACCACAACGTGAAAGTGCCTAATTTCACGTTTTGTCGAGGACGGGAACACGAGACAACAACTTTCCTTTTCTTTTCCTAAACTTGATACAGTCCTTTAGAATTCAACTCCAAAAAAATTTGCCAACACTTGACGAATTAAACGAGATGGAATAAGCGCGGTAAAGTTTGAAGCAGCGCAAATTTCCTTTTTAAGTGACGTTTTCGAGGCCGTCGCCGTCGTCGTTGCTTAAACTCCCCACTGTGTCTGACGACGCTGTAATTCAGGCACAAGCATAAAATTCAAGTGTTTTCTTTTTTTTTTAAGTTTAACCGGACGTGTATGTGAAAAGAAAAAAACAAACTCTGAAAATGGTATAATTTCAAAACCCTGAAAGTATCTACGGCCACCTACGAGAATGTCCGCACTACCGGAATGTAAAAATAAAGAGTTTCTATCATGGGAGTTGAAACTAGTTTCTGCGATGACGGCCTCAAATAGAGCTGTCCGCTTCAAGAGTGTCCGTTATGGGAGCTTCCACTGTACATGGATACCATGGTAAGGGAATGTTTCAGTACCAGCCTTACCGAAGGTAAACTAACTTAGTCATAATTTCCGCGAAAGAACCGGACTCATAGTAAATAAAACAGAAACTACTGAAATCACCTTTTGAATTTATAAAGCTGGAGTAAAAAGAAACGAAAATTTACCAAGCTGATTGGAGCTAAGGTCGAGGGGAGAGGGGAGAGGGGTGAGGGACCTAAACATGCAGTGAGGGGAGATATCATCATCAACATGATTCGCGGGTGTCATTTTAGAGCCTTCTTATAACCAGTTTGGCAGTTTTACCCTTGAAATCCAGATTCGCACAAACAGAAATATTTGCTGTCACTGTATCCTGTCAGGCATCTGCCATTGTTTAAGCAAGGGTAACTGGAACAAGGATTCTAAGAGAACAAAATACGCTAGGATTAAATTTCCTTAATACCAACACCAAGGGGGCGCACCCTTAGCTCATGTTACCTTAGGCTCGACTCCAAGCCGCTTTTCTGGTGGGTTAACTGCGCATTTTGGGAAATGAACCCCCAATTTGCATTTTTAAGTATCATTATTGTGACCTCTATAAAGCTCGCCGGGTACAGAGTTACATTTTAGCACTTTTGCGTGCCCTCGTGGTCGCAATAACACATCTTTTAATGATCATTAGAAAGGTCAGTGAAACGGACGGCAACAACGGTGAGCTAGCATACTGAAATACTTTTCCATTCACCAACAGTAACAGTAACAGTCAGCCCTATCAATTCAAGTGGCCTTCAATATTCATTCATATAAGGTAAAAGTCTTCATATCATTATCGGCCTCATCATCGTAGCATCATCATCATCACCAAGATCATCATCATCATTAACAATGACAACGGCGTAAACGCTATTGCCAGCATATTGCCATAACTTTCTCTTATTTAAACAGCACTTCATCTCATCTCCACTTCCTTAAGTTTCATTATCATCATCCTCATCGTCCTTATCATCATCATTGTCATCATTAACAAGAACAACAACAAAAATATAATAAACGTCATTTGACATGGCCAGCATAGCTTTAAAACAAGACTACTTTGACATTCTTTAATTTAAAACAATTTATCTAAACTTATAATCTGGCTAGTTCTTGCCTCCGTTCCTCTATAGGCCCAACCAGGTGCAGGCTTCAGATCTTGGGGGTGTTGTACGACGTCAGCATCATTCAGTTCACACACCACTGTGTCTTTTACGCCTGAACCAATATTAACGGACACACAGTCCCTCTTCATGACGCAGAAATGATGACATGATCCATGAATACCGATAGAAAGATTGGAAATCACGTGACCCTTAAGACGGCGGCCTTGCACAGGTGGTTCAAACTTTAGACGGCGGCAACCCACTAAAAAATCAGAATCAAAATCAAATGAATAAAATAAGTAAATAATAATAAAAAAATCATGTTGTATATCACATTTACGTGATTGTCAGGCACTAACTAAGTTTTTTTATTATTGACTTGAGTTTTTCATTTTCAAATAAAACATAAAGTAGGCTACCCTGCGTTTTGATCCTTTGACATCAATGCTTAGTATGAAACACTTATCGGTTTTAGAACATTTACCAACACTAATCAAAATAAAAGTATCGTTTTTCTTAAAGTTTTAAGTGAAAAAATAGCTTGAGCATGAATATTGCAAATTCCAGTAAGAGTAAGTAAAATAAATGACAGCTTAATAATTAATAACCTGTGAACAGGCTCTGTCACCCTTTCCCTT